CCAGATTGAAGAATAAGAGCAAAAAAGCCTCAGCAACGTTGGCCTGAATTTCTTGGACTTCCGAACTCTTCCTAACAGCTGTTAACAGAGTTAAACAGTTTCATCTTCCCTGCTAGCAAGTACAGAAGCTTTCAGAAATCAAAACTGCACGGGGGGGGGGGGGGGGGGGGACGGGTACTGAAAGACTCCTTAGACCGCTGGTGACAGCGGATATTTAGTCTTTAAATAATTAAGGTGATACCATTTGTACGATATTAAGGCAGGCTCTAATCTACACTTACATTAGAACATGTCATTACTATTCTACAAAATTAAATTTTTATCATCATAGTTATGGACATTTCTGCCAAGGAATTTTACTTATTGGCCAGATTAGATATTAAAATAAGGGAAATGATAAATTATGGAATACTAGATGCTGAAAATTTAACAAGTCAATCCCATGTTGCTAGTGGAAGTTTCTGAAAGAATGCCTGTTGCATTTTAACACTTAATCAATCCTAGTGAACGACAATGGCCTGAGGACAAGGAAATGCCTAAGTGATTTACAGTCCAAATTACAAGCACAGAGGAATCACTCAAATATAAAATTGTTCTAAAACAGGCACTTGGAGTTGAACTGTTGGTCATTTTCTAGAAGTCAGAGGAAAAGGAGGAATATTGATGCCTTTGTCAGAGTCTGTCCCTTCAGTAGTTCCTGGATCATAAAATTTGGCTCTATCTTATAGACTTTGTTTATAGAGGTCCAGCTATTTTTCTTTTGCATTTTATATAACTTTGGACTTTACCAGATTCCTTGTCCTCCTCCATTTCTCCTCTTTTTCATGCTGAGAAGCAATTCTGACTCCAAAATTCGTATTATCTCTAACAGGAAGAAGGAGAAAGAGGATGAGAAGGAGATGGAGGAGGAGAAGGAGGAAGGGAGAGCAGAAGAAGAGGAAATGAATGAAGGGATGAAGAAAACAAGGAACAGGACATTGAAAAGCCAAAAAAAAAAAGAGGAGGAAAAGTCAAGAAAGTATGAGAGAGAGGTGAAAAAGAGAGGGTTGAAGTGATCAGATTGAATAAGAACATGCTGTTTTGAAGCTGGGCAAGGTGGTACATACCTAGATCCACCAGGCTTTCCTCCCCAACTCTCTGCAGCCATCGACTGAAGAAAGAGCTTGGCTCAGGGTAAAACTGAGTCAAATTGTCTTCAAAGACTTGTCATACATGCAGAAAAAGTTACCACAATTTGAAGCATAAGTAAAATAAACACAAAGCTATGATAGTAATGAAGTACGATGATTTTAATAAGAATGACCCTCATAGGCTCGTATATTTGAATGCTTAGTCAGCAGGGAGTAGCACTATTTAAGAAGGACCAGGAGGTGTGGCCTTGTTAGAGGAAGTATACCACAGGGGATGAGTTTTGTGGTTTCAAAAGCCCATGCCTGACCAGTTCTACCCCTTTGCCTCTCTCTGCCTATGAGTCAGGATGTAGAACTCTCAGTCACTTCTCCACCAACATGTCTGCCTTAATGCCACCATGTTCTCTGCCATGATGATAATGTACTAATCAGTGAAACTGCAAGCAAGCTCCCAATTACATGCTTTCTTTTATAAGAGTTGCTTTGGTTATGGTTTGTCTTCACAACAACAGAACAGTGACTAAGGCAGAAGTTGGTTACAGGGTGAAGGGTATTTTTATGACAGGCCTGACCATGCTGCTGTTTGGAGGTATACGGAATACCTTGAGTCTTTGGACAAGAAAAGTGGTTGAATGTTTTAAGCAAGATTTATTGAGAGTCATCCTAGTAGAAATATAGAAGATGGTGCTGAGGGTGACATGGACTGTTTGGGCCCAGCTCAGGAGGTTTCAGAGGGGGAGAAAATTAGTAAGTGGCCAAGAGACACTGTTACATTTTGACAAAGAATGTGGCTGCCTTTTACTTTTCTCCTAAAATTTGCCTGAGGCTAAATTGAAGAGTTTTAGATTCATGGTGTTGGCAGAGGAGATTGCAAGCCGGTCAAGTATTAACCGTCTCATGTGGTTATTAGCGGCTGGTCTTAAGCAGATCTGTAATGAAAAAGAGCCAGCCGAGCCGGGAAAACTACAAAGTGCACAATTTGAGGAGAAAAGGAACATCAGGAAATGTAATGCCGGAGCCAAGTCCAATACTCAAAGGCATAAAGTGTTTAAAGAAAAGACTGATCCTAAATGGGATAAATGGAGTGGTGACCTCAGGGCCAGACCCAGTCAAACTTTCCACCTGTATAAAGGAACTAAAGGAAAGCTTAAGCAGTAAAGGAAACCATCAACAACAGAGCAATGAATCAAATGTATTTGAATGAAAGGCCCAGTTTCAGTCCCATTAAGCACTGGAAGTCTGCAGCCTCAGCTGAGCGGTTATTGTATTTAGAGTCATGAACACAAGGAAGGGGTTATAGAATCTCCCCCCTTGGCTAAGGAAAGCCACTGAGGCCAGGTGTTAAGGATGTCCCTGCTTAGAGGCCCAGAGAGCCCATTGTGTAAAACTGTGAAGGTTAAGCCTGAGTTGCGTTGAGACCACAAGATGTTGGAGATGCCAGAGTTATGGGAGAGCTACATACTGGGTATGGAATCAGCTTGAGGGAGAGAAGTGTGTCATAGTCAACAAAGCTGAAAGGAGTTTGGGATCTGGAGAGCTCTTTGACATCAGACATGGAGATGCAGAATTTGTAGTTTGCCCAGCTGGTTTTAGGTCTTGTTTTGGTTCAGTGTTCCCTCACTATGCCCCCTTTTTCCTTTTTAGAATGGAAATATATATTCTGTGACATTGTATGCTGGAACTATATAAGCTATTTTTTAATTTTGATTTTACAGTAGGTTACAGTTAAGAGATTGCCAAGAACCTCAGAAGAGACTTTGAACTTTGTACTTTTAAACAGTGTTGAGACTGTTAGAGACTATAGGGACTGTTAAAGTTGGACTCGATGCATTTTGAATCATGTTGTGACTACAAGTTTGTGGGGGTCAGGGAGTCTAAACTGGGAGTTTTTAATAAGAGCATCCTCCGTAGCCTCATATAATTGTGTGCTTGTGCTTACTCAGCAAGGAGTGGTGCTATTTGAGAAGGATTAAAAGCTAGATCTTTGTTGGAGTAGATGTGGCCTTGTTGGGGAAAATATGTTACAGAGGATGAGTTTTAAAGTTTCAAAAGCCCATGCTAGGCCCAATCACTCTTTCTGCTTCTATCTGCATAGGGATCAGGATGTAGAACTCTCAGCTACTTTTCCTATACAGTGTCTGCCTGTGCGCCACCGTTCCCCTAACCATGATTATAATGGATTAACCTTTGAAACTGTAAGCAAGCCCTCTCCCCAATTAAATGCTTTCTAAAAGCTGTCTTGGTCATGATGTCTCTCACAGCAATATAGCAGTGACTAACACACAGAGGGAATTTGGTTATTTATTTATTTATTTTTTTATTTATTTATTTATTTATTTTTTCCTGTAGTAGCATTATTCTCTGCTTTGATTGGATAGAACTGAATACGTGGCTTTCATTAACCCTTTTACAGTTCACTTCTTTTTCTCTTTTTATTGAAAAGGAAAGGCTGAAATAGCAGCAGTTAACACTATGTTGGCACCTAACTGATTAATGGAGACTATGTATTTGATTTCAAGTAGTATGGAGTGCCATGGCTGGGAGTAAAATAAAGATCTTAGCCTACCCTAGGTGTCCACACTTTGACTGAAGGCCACGGAAAAGCACTTAGGAGAAGCGTGTAATCAAATTTGTGAAATCAGATTCAGAAGAACTCCTAGGTAGAGAGCATCAACGAGATAACCTTTGATAGGCGAATCTATCTGTAACGTGAATTATTTCTTTATATTTTCTTCAGTCTGCATTTTTGTGTGATTTTTTTTTCAAATGGATTCATTTTAATTTTCTCCCAGGTTGTCTACTTGAATCAGGGACAAAATGAACTATTCTGTTCTAACTGGTTGATAAGGACGTTAAGGCTTCTTTGACATAGTTATTATTAGATGAATCTTTACTACGTATCTCGGGCCAGTCTCAAACTTAGTGTCCCCACCTCATCCTTCTAAGTGCTGGGGATGTCTGTCACGCCTCCCTAGACAGGCGATCTCTCAGTTTCTACTGGAGTCTGTGGAAGTCTGAATGAAGGGAGTCAATATCGTATTTATTTGTGCATTTGACACTGGAGACACATGTACTGCTTACACACAACACAATAATGACAAGAATTCGTGTTGTCAGAACATGTTAGGCATTATAATGAAGGGATCTTGGTGGTTCTCCAAGTCTGAAAGTGTCTCAAGGTAGTTTGGCCTCCATAATCGGAAGAGACTAAGTCCCTTCTCTGCTTCTCTCCTCCCTCACACTGCAGAGTTCCTGCCCTGGCCTGTTTGTCAGAGGAAGAAACGTTTGGCAAGGCTGAGAGCAGCATCTGGGACTGGAGTGGAACCGCTGACTGCTCAAACTGTTCAGCTCATTTGCTGATAGGAAATACAGAGAGTACAGAGAGGTCATACTCTAGGACTGGGGTTCTCTTTTGCTTTCTTCTGGTCAAACCTAACTGTGAGCTGAGGTGTGGTGGTATCAGAAGATGGGCGGTCAAAACAACAAAACAGGTTTGGCTCCAATCTACATGCTTGGAGCTGTGCTCTTTTTCTTTAACTGATTCTCTGCACCACCTACCTTCATCACCCCTTGCTTAGGCTGGCGAAGTCAGTGCAACTACAAATCCTAGTATGCAGCCCTCCTTCAAAAGTCTGTGCAGCCCATCACTCTCACTGCATTCTGGGAAATGTAGTTTAATCAGTAATCAGAAGGAACGCAATCAAGATAGTAACGCACGAGAAACGTCACCTTCCACTGACTCCGCCCTTCTCTATTGACCCCTCCCAGGTTGCTTAGGAGACAAGAGACGCAGAATCTTGGTGCTTATTACAGCAGCTCTGGATTCGTGCAGAGGGAAGTCCAGCTTGGTCAGTTCTCAGCTCGAGAGCAGGCATGGCGACTTTTAGTAGCGAATATAAGGCCTCTTTCAACAGTAAAGATTACCCGTATGAGATTGGACCCACGGATGTGCTGGAGCGCAAAGGCTCTCTAACTCTCCGCTCTCATGAGAAGAAATACTCGAAGCAAGTGTTGGTGTATTCCTGGTGAGCCAAATACTCGCAGTTATTGGGTCCCAGAGAGAGAGGAGCGGAGAAGGATCCAGCAAAGGGCGGGAAAAGAGTAACAGTCAGTAAGTAGACAATACTGGAAAAAGAGAGAATGGGAAGGAGGAGGAAAAAAAAGAAAAAGAGAGTAATGAGGTAAAAAGAACAAGAAAGAAGTGGTACCGAAAGGAGAGGGGGAAACATCTTCCACAGAACATGGCCATATCAAAGTGAGCTAGGAAGTGCCCTCCAGGACGGTTCCCCAACTCACACCAAGACCTGCCCCAGCCAGTGCTTTGGCCAGGGAACTTAAGCTCGTCTACACAGGGCAAAGGAGCAAGAGTCACTTAACAGGCTTGAAAATCGCCTCCTTGAGGCAACCCTTACTTGTAAAAGGAAGTCGTATTAGAAAGCCAGGCGCACTGGCAAGAGGCAAAAGTCCTTAAAGAGGAACAGGGCCGCCAATGCTCGGCGAGGGCCACACAGTTAAAAGCAGTCTCTCAGCATCCCGCAAGCCGTTCACGAAGACCCTTCCAGCCAGAGGTGGCAAAGCTTAGTCTCTCTTTGGGTAAGGCCAGTGCATTTTTTGACATGTACTCTGCTTACATTTCTTCTTTTTAATTACTTGATCATACAATTCACAGGAAGATCCAGGGTTGTGTGTTCTCTTGGAAAACTGAAAGGCCTGGAGGACTTTGTTCTAAGTCCATGCTTTTCTCAAGACGTATTGGACTATTTTCGTGCTTTGGGAATTGTACCTTGAACTCACTTAGCGTTCTCCTCCCTGCTCCTCCTTAAGTATTAAAGTGGCCAATAGCTACAATGTCAACACTGGAGGAAAGTAGACAGTTTTAGGAGGTTGTGGTGGTGTCAAGTTTCTTACAATAATTGCTTTCAAAATATTTGTAATATTTGGCGGGGATAAGTGGGAGGGAGAAATGAAGTCACAGATCTCATTTGCTTTCTGCTGCTGTTGCCTTTGAAGACAGAAACATGATTGGAACGTTAGGCCTCCTTGGACACCACCATTCCTGGGCTGTTTGCGATGCCTGCCATTTTTCTGTTCTGCAGACTTTTTAAAGCCTGTGCATTCGTTACATTTCCAAAGTCTACTCCTTATGCCTTCATTTCTTATCCCAAAGTGAAGTCTCAGTGTGAGAGATTAAATCAGCACAAAAATTCCAAAGCTACACAGGGAAACAAGCTTTTTCAACAGTAAAGTTTATTATGGAAATGGACTTCTTCACATTGACGGTGTACTTGCTTGGTCAGGGGTGGAGCCCTGTAAGTGTCCTGTTTTGGCTTCATACATGTAGGTCTTTTTTTCACGGCCCTTAAGCATAAATGCTTAGCGGCTCTGAGAGCCTGTTGCGCTGTAAGGATGTGGGACATAATAGTAATCACCTCTGTAAGTTATTAATGAGGAAGGGTTTCCAAAGGGACAGCATTTCTGTCCCTTCTGCGTTACAGTTGTGTTGAAGTTAACTGTAAGCAGCATGGATATCAGTAGCAGAGCAGACAAGTGAATGGTTTGGGGCCTGGTAAAGAACGAAGGGGAGTGAAGGACTGTTTGTCCCTTTCGCCATTCCTCAACGTGCATAGGGCTTTTCTTCTGCTCTCAAGGGAGAAGAATTAAATTCAACCCAAAAATATTTATAGGCCATACACTTTGCTACGTATTAGGGACATAGAAATAGGAAAAAAAATCAGGATTTTTGTAAAACACTTTGTCCCAGTTGGAGTTTCTATTGGTGGATAAACAATCACGACCAAAGCAACTTGGAATGGAAAGGGTTTATTTGGCTTACACTTCCACGTTTCACATCTCCATCATTTTAGGAAGTCAGACCAGGAACCTGAAGGCAGGAACTGATGCAGAAGCCATAAAGGAATGCTCTTACTGGATTGCTCCTCATTGCTTGCTCAGCCTGCTTTCCTATACAACCCCAGGACCACCAGCCCAGGGATGACCCCACCCACAGTGGGCTGAGTCTTTCCATATCAATCACTAATTAAGAAATGCCCTACAGCCTGATCTTATGGTGTGGCTGTGTGTGTGTGTATGTGTGTTTGTGTTTTCTTGAGTAGGGTTTTGAAGAAAGAATAGGAATTCTGAAGATAGGCAAAAAGAACAGAATAGTAACAGCACAAGAATTAGAAAGAGTTCCCTTCAGGCAGTAAATAAAGTCACCTTCTTGGTGATGATTATTTACAAATTAAAATCAGTAATTGAAAGAGTTTTCCCCATCACATATACATGTTCAGAGAGGCAAAAGGTTCAATTTTTTTTTTTTTTACCCCAAATGTGCATATTCACAACTAAGGTCACATAAGGCAAAACATTGCCTTCATTTTTTTCTCTCATAGATGACATGTTTGTGGTCTTTTCATACTACTTTCTCTCTCTCTCTGACATCTCCATGCTTTTCATTGATGTTATTGTTAGCATGCCCCTCAGGCACTGTCATGAAGTATTGCCTGATGTCTCTAAGCATGAGAAGGCTGTGTGGATGCATTTGATGAAGAAAACATGCATTAGGCAAATTTTGTTGAGGTTGTGAGGTCCTGTTGTCGGTGTTAAGTTCAGTGTTAATGAAGAGTCCACATACATCAAATAAGACGTCTTTCAACAGGTAGACCCATGGGCTGGGGAGGGAACTTAGTAGAGCTTCTTGTCTGGCTAAGCAGGAGGCCCCAGCTTTCATCCCTAACTTCACAAGAAAACAAATAAGAGCACATTGATTAACCGATTCACGAAAATGTGGCCAGGGACCTAAACCTGTTTCCTCTAGGAGAGATTGCTTCAATGCTCATGAGTGTCTGTGAGGCCTCTATAGAGCACTAATGAGAATCTGCTGTAAACGTCTAGAACCAGTGGCATCTTCAGAAGCTGGGGACCCGCTGCTGTCTTTACATAAACCAACCACTCATGAACATCCATGTTAACAAGGCAGCACAGAGTTGAATGTGTGCACTTTGAATGAACAGAGTCCGTAAGCCCACGATTGTTAGCTTTCAGTTTATTTCGTGACACACTTAAACTTTTAAGTTATATGTATTAGAGATTTTTTTTTTTTTAAATTCATTTGGTAAACATCTAAGGTCTATGCTTACTGTCTTGGTAACCGCTCCAGCTGAGTATCTTTTCAGGGACCTTATGTACTTGCAGACACCAATGCAGCGTTTTTAACTAGGAGAAATTCTGATTTACTTTTCATTGTTGTTTTCCTGCTTCTCTCTGTCTGGCGTGTCATAACAGTCTGCTTGACCTCACTGTACGTATCCAAAATAGCTATGTGTGGTAAACATGATAAAGGATGGAAGTTACGAGATCTCTCTGGCCCATTATTATTCCATGTCATTGCCCAAGACCCACCTCCTCCTTCCGGCTAGAGTGGTAATGAGATGGAGCAAATCACCCTTGTCACAGCCTGCTGCTTTTGCCTTAGAAATACACTTCCTAGAAGTCATTTTTGTACACCTTTTTTTCCTGTAGCATTTATGGAACTATATCATAAGATGTTTCCATTAGAACTTGTGAGTTGAGTGAGAGAAAATTATTTCCTGGGATATCTTCCCACTCATTGGAATAATAAGAAACAGAACAAATTGATAAATTTTCTCATGTGAAAAGTTTGTTCATTCATTCATTTACTTCATTCATTCATTCATTCATTCATTTTTATCTGTTCCTTGGCCATTCTGGTTCCTGGTAACAAATGATAAATTTTTTAAAAAAATCATCCAAATCTCCATGGAGACAGATCGTGCTCTGGTCTCCATGGCAATATCTAGTTTTAAGGACTCAGATTAATTTCACGAATTTGTAATTTTAATTGCTTTTCTTTCTCGACTAAGCCACAGACTAAAGACCTTGAGCATTATACTTTCCCCATGCCACTCCCCTACCTCCTAATAAGAAGAAAACAAAAGATGAAAGGGAAGGGGGGAAAGCTAAATGTAATCACTGTGGGGGCAGGGGAACCTCATCGTTTAAAGATTTTTACAAAAGCTAATTTGGGCATGGATGATAACTAGGGGCAAAGGGAAAATTAACATTTCTCTGAGACTCTTAGACTTCTGCACCGCTGTGTTACCCGAGCATGGAGCGTGTGTGTATATTTAAGGCCATCCCTTGAAGGTGGAGAGGCATTCCAAGGCATCGGGCTATCTTTGTGTACTTAGATAGAAAGCAGAGTGCCTGGGTTCCTTGATTTGATGTGTCACACGTTTTGTGTTTAGTCAGTGATCTTTGTGGGTGATGGCCTTCTCAGTATTTAGAATCCTCACATCACTGAGGGCCAGACTAGAATTATGTAAGGTCTCCTGGTAAACAGGGCCTCCCACTCCCCCCCCCCCCCCGTGCCCACCACACACTAAGATAAAAAGACAAAGATAAAAAGCCCCACATCACCATGTGATCTAGCCTGTTTTTCACTGAAATTCATAAGGGCTCGCTCTTCCATCATGCCTTCAACTTTAACATAGACCCAGAACCTCAGGGGGAAGCTTATTAACCCTTTACTGCACATTTGGAAAAGATGCGTTTCTTTGGTTTCCGTGCATGAAGTATATCATTTGAATTCAGGAAAGGAAGCATTAAAAGGGGATTTTTGGTCACTGGCACAGTGAGAAGACCAAGCCCTGGGCCATGGGATAAGAATACAGTGAGATAGAGAGAAATGTTTATCACATAAATGAACAAAACGTTGTGAGGCATTCAGCAGAGAAGACTAATGGGATGTGGGGCTAAGCCAACAAGGTCATTATCAGCCAGCCGGTGACTATGCTTGGTGTTCGAGACCCCAAGTGCAGCCTGGACCCCTTTTCATGGTGAGCTTTTTAAGTACAAAAACCACACTCCAGGCTGACACATCTCAGTTAGCAAAAACAGTTGTTATCCAGATGTGAAAATATAGAGGCCTAAAAGTAAGGTGAGTCCGTTTCAGGACTTTCCCAGAACTATGGACTTGGATGGTTAAGTCTTATTCTCATTTTGG